TATCAAAAATGATTGGTTGAAGTTTATATCAGATGCTAGTTACATTAGCTTTTCTATTTCCTGAAATTTTCATCGAAATCTCTTGAACCACTTAGAAGATAGGTTTCGGAGGGGAGGTTCCTCCTTAACTCGTATCATGTGCATCATTCTCTGCACTATACGGTCCGCGCCACAGTTAAAGTGCATTGATTATCATTAAAACATCGAAAAATCTTAAAAGAAAAAAAGCTTGCTTGGGTTTGGTCCATTTTCTGACCAATTTATGCTCAAATCGGAAATCTGCCTTCAGATTCGGATTCCTAGTGGTCAATAACCTATAGCAAAGTTTTATTAGAACGTCGAAAAACCATAAAATAAAAAAAGCTCGTTTCTGATTGACTTAAGCTGATAAACTTTTAAGATATTTTTCGCGATATAACTCTTTCTTTCAGAAAAGGGAATAATCTAGTTTTTGTTAACTGCTGAAAAGCTTATTTTGTATTCACATCTTGGACAAAATCAAATCAACTAACAAGTTGATTCAATTTTTTTTTCTTTTATATCAATTGTACTATAATTAGAAAAGTAGTAAATATTTTATGAAAATTCTTTCTAAGAAAAAAATGTAATTATACAAAATAACATTCTATAACAAATTAAGAAAAAATTTTTATAAAAATAGATTCAACCAAGAATTCACTGAAGTCGATCTTTTATATAATACTTAATCGAAGCATTTTCAACGGTGCAATGCCTCGATTATTGAATCAACATAATACCAAATGAATCAAAAGCTTATGAGAATTACTAATCTTCGATCAGGTCAATATATTTTGTAACAAAAAGTTCTACAATCAAAATTTCTAATTTCTCAAAAGAAACTTCAACATATAAAAAAAAGACATTTACAATAACATCTTTTCTCTTTGTTCAATAATGGCATTAAATGAAAAAGTGACAGAACTGTCATGAACTTCTCGAAAAATAAAACCGTTAAATATTACTATTCAAAACTTGATTTAATCAATAAAGATATAAACTAATAAATTTATCGATATTTTCGTTTACAAAAATATTTCAAACGATTTAATAATAATCGTTTAGTTTTTAATCGACGTTCAATTTTTCGTACATATTGTCCTATATTTGCAATGGAATCTTTTAATGTTTGTATATCATTATTTAAACGATCACGTTCAGCACTTAAATTATTTATTTTCTTTTTTCCATAGGCAACAATACAAGTTGATACATCAATATATAAAACATCTTTTAACCAACATCGTTTTCGACATGTTGGACAAACTTAAAATAAACAATAATACAAAAGAATATTTTTATTTCAAAAAAATAAAATAAAATCAAACAAAATACCTTTATTTGTTGTAAACCATTGATGAATACATGATGCACAAAACATATGGCCACATTTTAAAGCTACAAGTTGTTGTTGATCAACACCAAATGTTTCATAACAAATAAGACATGAAAATAAATCTTTTGGTATATGATTATATGTTATTGTTGATGAACATATACTTGTTGTTGTTGTATTTTCATCAACATTTGTTGTTAGTAATGAAATTTCGTTATTATTCATATGAAAAGAATAGATTCTATTTAAAGTTTATTTTCTTTTTTGCCGCGTAGCCAAGAGAAAAAAAAATCTAATAAGTGATAGATTTCGTTATGTCAACAGATTAACATAAAATATCTAATACAAAAGATGAATAATGTTAAATTCTAATCAACATAAGATCGAATCTCAAAAACGTTGGAAGTTTTCTTTTTTGTTTCTAAGCGACAAAAAATTAATTTATCAGATCTGAACGGAAATAAGACATTCTCTCATGAGAATACAACGAATTTTTATAATATAAGTAAAACTCAATGATCTAATAAAATAGTTTTCGGCTAGAAAAAGATCAGATTACATATTTTACCGAAAGAAAAAAAAAAGAAAAGCTTTCAACACTCATAGCATTGATTTGATCTATTATGATCGAATAAGAAAATTAACTCAACGATAAATTCCTTCTGGATTTACAGATTAAATACTAAGATCTTTTCTTAAGTAAAATAAAAAAAAAGAAGTTCCATTTGATATTCATTCAAGATTCTAGTTTATTCAGAAATAATCTTGTAAAAATCAAGTCAGAAATAATCGGAAAAATTATCTAATGAATACGTTAATCGTTTTTGACATGTCATGCCTGCTTTGTATAATATAAACCGAATATAGAAGTTGATAATGCAAGCAAACATTTATAAGAATATATTTATATATTAGATTTTTTTTTATACTTAATTGTACGTGTGAAATCAATCCAAGATTGCATTATAATGTGTTTGTAACAACATATATCATCTTTTCATGGAACAACTGTTTGAAAGCAAGGATACTATTATGATTCTTACGCACAATCATAAATAAAGAAAATACTAACATACTTTTGTCTATATCATTAGTGGTCTCTTTTTTATACTACAACTGGTTCCATTATGTAATCTAATTGTCATTGAAAATTTTTTTCTATGTGTTTATAGAATTATACTTATTTGAAATCTTTCTTATGTAAATAAATTTTATGATAAAAATCATTTAGATCATTAATTAAACAATAATTTCAATCAGTTTCCAACATCATAATGTAAATGTCAAGTCAATATCTATATATATGATCTTTGTTGCAATGTCAACAAAAGTATAAAGAATATATAATATGTTGACATGAAATATACATACAAATAATGACAAAAAAAAGAAAATGCGTAGAAGAACTATTCCAGCTAGATTCTATGATTAATGAAACATGTAAAATTTATTAAATGACAAACACAATACTTTCAAATGAGATTTTTGCTTGAATAGAGGCGTATGAATTAATAGATAATGCAGAATATATTAAAGAAATGTTCAAACAAGAATTTCTTTTCATCTTCATTCTTACGCGATTTTTTTTCTTTTTTTTCTTTTTTTTTCTTTTAATTCCTTTCTCATCGTTCACTTCTTCAGTCGGATAGAACAAAAAGAGTCACTGAAGAAAAAAAAATCTAATGATTATTATCGTTCGTCTTAAGACAAATGAAGAAGTATTTATCTATATTTTGTTCTATTTTTGAGTTCTTACACTGAAACTGGAAATTAAGTTAAACTGTCAGGTAAAGATATTAGAATTACATTAGTTCCAGATGTATAGATTTTTTCTGCTTTAAGTTAAATAAACTCTAATAATCATGTTCTTGTCTATAGTTGGTAGTTTTTGAACGTATCAATTATATTATGCGCATTATATTCGTCGTCGATCGTCTATTCTTATTGACCCATTTGTTTATTTTTCTCTCGGCTCTTTTATTCTAATTGATGTGAGTCTGATTATCATTATCATATATATGTACGTAAATCGACTAAGATGATGAATGACGAAGAAATGATGATGATTATTGAACTCGTTGTTCTTCAGCTTAAGGATATAGCAACTCTCTTGTGATGTACATATTCCATTCTTCTCTGTAATGTGTCTCATAACTCCTGTCATGTTTGTTTGAAGCTTTTTTTTTCTTTTTCTCTCTTTCTTTATGTCGGTCTGTTTAGTTGTATAACAACTTTAGTCCTACATTCTTTAATATAGATTTCTATTCATAGCTATTATATATACGTGAACTTATTATTAACTTTTCTATATGAATATTTATAAGGTACATTACATATATATTTAATAATTACTTTGTTCTTCGATCATATTTAATTGATTTCAATTTATGTTTTTTTTCTTTAGAATGATATGACTGGTCATAATTTAACATTATTACATAATATCGAGCATGACTCGATTAATGATTACAATGAAAGTTTAAGTTCATTAATATTTTTTACAATTGTTTATATACTTGTACTTATATCTGGTCTTATTGGCAATTTTATTGTTCTTTTTGTTATATTTAAAAATAATGATTTAAAACATTTTACAAATTATTTTTTTGCTAATTTAAGTGCAGCTGATGTATTTGTACTTTTATTTTGTATTCCAACTGCTATACATGATATATGGGCAAAAGATCAATGGCATATGGGTAAATTTTTTTGTTTAAGTAATCAATATATTGAAAGTTGTGCAACAAGTATTTCATCATTGAGTATAATGGCAATTAGTTTAGAACGTTTTATTGCAATATGTGAACCATTTAAGGTAAAAATCTATTATCAAGAAATATTTTAATTACATAAATCTCTTAAATTTAGGTTCATGATATATTTAATGAAACATTAACATTAACTACTATATTTTTAATATGGGCAATTGCTCTTATTCTTTCACTTCCATTTTTAATTTTTGCTGAATATGATCCATTATTTAATCCAACAGATTCATTAAATAATACATCAAATTTGATAACTATATGTCATTTAGATGCTAATTCAAGTTTAGCACGTGCTTGTATAACATGGTTTATTGTTATACTTATTTTTATACCATTTTTTGTTTTAATATATATCTATACACGTATTATATTAGAATTAGCACGTCATCGTGTTGTTCGATTAATGACAATTACAAAAAATCAACAACAACAATATGATGATGAAACAAATAGTTCTAATGGTGGTTTAGTTATAAGTAGTGAACATCAACAATCTCATTCATTTCTTGCTTATAAACGTTTTGAACAAAAACGTCTTAATACAGTTATTATTTGTATTGTAACTGTTGCATTTTTTGCATGTCAATTTCCAGTACGTATTATACAATTAATTGATATGTATTTACGTGTACGAAATGAAGCAACAATGCCACATTTAGTATGGATATGGTTATGGAAATTATCAAAATTACTTTTTTTTCTTAATTTTACAGCAAATCCGGTAATAAAAACATGAAAGAATTTTTTTTTATATTACTTTTAATTTTTAATTAGATTATATATAATATTTTATCAACAAAATTTCGTCGTTCATGTCGACGATTACTTCAAATTCATCGTTCATCAAGTTTTGGAATAAATTCATCACGTAAAACAAGTGTAACATCTTATCTTTATTCAAGTATATATAAAAATCGTCGTCAATTAAGTAATTCACTTAATAATCATCATCAAAAATTTAGTACAATACGTACAAGTATTGATAGTGATAATCGAGATCTAGTTACTGTTGGTAATAATGAAGAAATTTTTATTCCAACATTTCAAGTATTAAATGAAGAAGAAAATGAAAATATTGTTCTATAATCTTTTCTTTTTTTTTTTTGACATTTTATATTGATATATTTATTGTATTTCCTTTTTCTTTTCCTTAAAATAAATGAAAATTACATATATATTCATTTCATTTTTTGTTGCATGCAATGGAATGTCATGAAACAATTCTGTTGTCATTTACTTTAGATATCTGAATAACTGTTCAGAGAAAATAGACAAAACTTTCTATTTTTGTTTTGATATTGCAAACGAAAAAAAAAAACATGAAATTTTCTCCTTAATTTCTATTGTTTCGAATAGATAGAGAAAATATCAGTGTAGTATAGTCGTCAGTAGAGATAATAAACCGATTGATCTGAAATTCATACCGACACTAGACTGACGAATTGGTGTACTATTCCATCTGTGGATAGTAATATGTGACATAGTAAGCTTTCAGAAAAGTTTCATTACACATCTTCTATGAGATAATAAGAGCAAAAAACTAAATAAGACACACCGGTAACAGTCGGTAATTGATATCGATTTCATGTATAAAACAAGTCTCAACGTGCTGTGCAATCATTGATACTAATTATTTGAGTATTGTATTGAACTTATCAATCTGAGTTATTAGAATGCACAAAAACAATTTCAACCATTCAAATTACAAACTTAGAAAATATCTAAATAAAGACATTAACCACTATAACTTCAAAGATTTCATTTCGTTCAAATTGGAATATTGACTTATGTTTAGATTAAAAGAGGTTTTCACTATTCTTAATTATGATAATAAACTATCTTACTTACGAGGGAAGATTCCCAAGTGATTCATCACAGCTAAGTCAGAATTATATGTATCATGTGGGCCCCAATGAAGTATGAATATCGTGAATAGAATTCAGATTGATAGCTTATTATTGCAAAGATACTGAATTTTTACGGTGTTTTTTAAGTAAAATGCCGTGGTCTTCCTCAGGAACATCAGACAAACTGAGCTTGGAATTTTGACTTGAAACCTTGTATAGTGAATCAGGTCAAGATATATGCTTTGTGTCTTAATTCTATTTTGGATGTTATGGCAGTTATAATGAACAGATTTCGATTTAATTGAATCTATTGAAACAAACAATCAGTTCGTTCAGGGAAAAAAGTTCTTTTTTTCAATTGTCCGTCAGTTATTTCCAATACGTTTCTTTTATGAAGAGTGAATAACAGAACACGAATGAAGTTATGAAAACATTCATTGATGCTAGAAGTATCAATAGTTTTCAGAGTATGCGTGTGGGTATGCGGATGGGTTGGAATGTTTGTAAGCAACGCTTAAGCAAACATACCCACACCCATACCCGACCCTTATTATGCTTATTTCAAATATCACATGTATTTTATTTGAAAACGAAATCTTGATAGTCAAAATTTCCAAGTATGTTCTCACCTCGTATTATTTTACTCATTTATATTGAAAGAGTTTATTTTCAAAATAACGGATCCTTAATTTTTTTTTGACGGATCTGCAACTTTAGGATGATATAGCAATGTGTGGTATCTACTTAGCATTATAAATATAAATATGAAGATCTAGTCATAATTTGTAGTTTCAGGAAAAAGTCATTGTCTTAAAATGATGAAAAATCATGAGAACTTTATTATAAAACAAAACTTGATATTTTGTGGTTTCAATAAAACCGAAATATTGATTGGAAATTCTTAAAGCTTCTTTTTCTAAACGCAAGTCCTCAAGTACCAAAGCCTTCAATCGCTGAAAGTAACTGTAAATGTGGGAGGTTTCCAGTTGAACAGCACTACTATTCTTTTAAGTTTTCGCTAGCATGGTTCAGTAAAAATATATTGATGCAAATGATGATGATGATATGAGTTGAATGATTGACGTTCGAGATAGTCGTATGTTTCTTTTTAAAACCAAATGATGATTCATTCACTCAACCGTCATTTGATTGATTTCTATTTGGCCAAATTGGATATGCATTTGTGATATAAATCTGGAAACATACTATTGCAAATTTTAAATAGATGATCATTGTAATTTGAGTATTTTTTTTTATTATATTTCGATGGAAATCGTTTGTTACAGTTTCGCATTCTATTTTACTTCTTCGTGAATGTAATTGTTTGAAATATGAATGTGATATGCATGAATTATTTTAGGGTGTGTATTTAATTGAACTTTTGATTTATAAAAAATAATGAAACATAAGTAGAAACTTATCAGGACTATATAATGATTGAAATTCAAGATTAAATAATGGATATAGCATTATTAAAATATATTCTTTTGTTACTGGAGTAACATAGTATTTTAACAAAAATAGAAAAATAGTTCACATTGAATATGAGTAAAAATTGAAAACAAAAGGATCCTATGTAATACATGAACTTTCACTGACGATTAAGAAAGTAGTGTACTTTTTTATGGATAACATGAAGAAGTTCAAAGTTTGAAGATGCATAGGTTTCGTGGTTAATTTTTCATAATTCGAAGTATTAATAATACGATACAACGATGGTGAATGTAAAAAAATATGAAATAATTAGAATCGAACGACAAAATTTTCGGCAGTCATACATTTTTTTTAAATATAAACGCGCACAAATGCTTCAATTTTCCTACGACATATAGGACATGTATGAAGCATTTGCGCACAACCAACACAAGCTGCTAGATGACCACATGGAATGCAAGCCAGATGTTTCTCCTCCTTCCAACACAAAACACAAGGATTATTTACGGATAACTTAGTTTCTGAAATAGATTCTTCTGTTTTTGGAAGTTGATTTGCGGTTTCCACAATCATTGGTTCTACTATAGATGATGCATGCGTTGATATATCATTTGTTGACGTTATAGAAAGTGATGATGAGACAAGTTGTTTTTGAATCAAAGTATCTTTGAGTGGATGATTATATATAGATAGATCATTTTTTCAAAAATATATAATACAAACCAGATTGTTCTCGGTCACGAATCAATTTCATTCTAATACTTGGTATGACAATATTATCTTTGTTTCCACCAATATGTTCGATTTGCTTTTGAAGAATGACACAGGCAATGAATAAATCACAATTGCTGACAAAATCATCCTCTGAATAAATATACAAATGGACATAAATTTGATGTGGTAATGAATACGTTTTTCGTTTTCTATCGTTATTCGCTTACGTTTTATTTGAAGTTGATTTTCCCAACAACGTTTTATGACTGATAACTTAAAATTTTGATCAAGTAATCTTTGTGAAACTGGCAGATCGAGTCGAGCAGCGACTAGACGCGATAGTAGTCGTTCATCGGTTATTTGCAATCGTTGATGATTGGAAACTGATGTATTATTCATTCGATTAATTGAAGTTTTAGATTTATCCTGATCTGTTAAAGGAAAATCGATTACTATCTATTTTACTGTTTTCGAAAAATAAAAACACGAATCAACCTTGTTGAATGCGTTCAGTTTTTTGAACTTTATTGTAAAGCTCAGTACCACTTAATTGTTTCGCATATGCACAATTCGGAAACCATGTGATGTGTTCAATTAACGGATTATCTTTGTTGCCCCAATTCTGTAAAGATCCATTACAATAGAAACAGGTGACTATATTTTTTACACCAGTATAAAAGAAACCTGCTTTAACAAGATCATCAATAGAAGGTGATGATTCGTTGGCGGTCCATGTTCCAAAAGTTGCTTGCCGACTTGGAATACTAGTATAACTAATATGGTACGCTGATGTATAAACAATTTGTTCAAATTGAACTCGATTGATATTATTTAATACAACCAGTGGATTACCATTCTTATCAGTTGAAATTTCATTTACAATCAAAACTGACGAAGGTTCTGTTTGTGTTAACAAAGATGATAACACATAAGGACACATCGGTGACAGTGTTGTGTGAATTTCAATTGGATCATCAATGTTTTCTTGCCATTGCTGACAAATAAGATTACAATATAAACAAATAACACGATCTCCAACGTTACACTGAAAAAATCCAGCAATGATCATTTGCTCTTTCGTTGGTATTTTGTCATGTGGCCAATGTGAAAATGTTCGTCGACGTACTTGTCTAAGAATATCTAGTTCAATTAATTTGCTTTGTTGATTCCATTGATTGATATTGCATTCTGTCTTCTGTCGTTTAGCTGGATTTTCTTCATGATTGAATATCAACTTATCCTTTGATTGGATAGAACGAATAAATTCACAATTCGGACTACGTTCGAGATGAACATAAAATGGATTCATCTCTTGAGTCCATCCAGACACTTCGAGACCACATCTATCACATCGAGTAGTGTCATCTACTCCTGTATATTGGAAGCCGCCAGTTTTCATTCGATTAGTTGAATGTACGCCGTGTCCTTTCAGTTGACTACATAATTGTATATTCTGTTGATACACATTACTTATTATTGATAAAAGCGACGGCTTATAATCATGATTTTGTATGAAATGATCTGATTTGCCTGTAGGTATCTTCATATAGATCACAAAAGTATATAACCAGAATTTTAGCGAAACAATGTTTAACTAAAATATAGCGATCTACAAATGATAATGAAATGCATGGCCAATCATATCAGATTTCTTAAAAGTTTACTAAAATCAGAAAACTCGTATAATTCTAATAGTGATTAAAATTATGAGAGTACTTTTTGTACAAATGATACATATCACTAGAAAGTTGATATTTATTTGATCGAAGTTCACAAATAATATTTAAAAATACTTCTTCAACTGAAATGTACGAATCAGTCGTTATTAAATCGCTAAAATTGAGTAAATGGTATAATATTTTTAATGGCATCAATTTCTTGTGCTCTTTTTTATGCATTATACGAATTAGATCTTGAAATATTGCTTAACCAACTTTTGAATGAGTTCATCTTGTCTATTATGCCATGTAGTCATCGATAATGATAATGACGTTGTTTTTTATTTTTGCTTCATACAACTTGTCGAAACTCATACCAAAACATTGATCAACTCTGTTGTATCTGTATTTCTATAATCAGATACCTATCTCCAATTGTAGTTTGAAGAATTGTGTGTACATACTTCACCAAGAATCTATGTCAGAGGCGCCACCTGCACTCCAATTGCTGGAAAAGAAACGAAGTTATGATGGATGATGTCAATTTTTGCTTTGAGCTTCGCAATCTAAAAAAGGCTGCCTGTTGAGGCTTATCCTCTTTCTTATCAAATATCTAATTAATTCGGAATATTTTCATATGAAACAAAAGTCCAGTCTACTATCTTTCTTCACCCAAAAGATAAGTTCGTTCAACTACCAGAATAATAATATATCTCCAGCACCTCGACACTAACGCGATGATTACCAGTGTGTCATTTCTCTCGTTGTAAAACTTTCAGAAAATAATATTACACTATGGAGAAAGTTTCTCCGAAAGTTTTAGATCGATTCATTGAACTATCGCTGAGTTATGGATCTTCAAAGGAAAATATAGGTTTTTCCAAACCGATGATTATAGTAAAATGAGTAGAGACCTTGAACGAGTTGATGAACTTCCACGAAATTTGTATGACAGATAGCTGGAGCATAGCATCATATAATGATAGGTCTATAGACTTGAAATACTCGTCCGTCTCAAAGTTACGAAGCTCCAAGCAAAAGTTGACATTGTCTATTATAATTCTGTTTTCTTTTAAGCTATCGAGATGTGGGTGATGACACTGGCATAAATTCTTGGTGAAGTATATGCACACAATTTTTCAGATCTCGAACTCTTATGGTGACTGAGATCCAAGGAAGGGACAAATTTTTGTCCAGGGATGTACATACCGTTTTGTATTTATCAATGCGACATATATTAAAGTTGGAAAGTTTTTGTGATCATGGATTTCGTTTAATTGATTAATTTTTTCAAACATTCGAATACTTGGTTCTCCATGACATTAGAACAATAACAAATCTTCGAAGAATGGAAATTTTAAAATCGAAGTATTATAAAATAAAAATTTACCAAACAGTGTTTTGAGCATGCATATCTATTTGATAACTAGTACCTTCAATTGAATTAGTTCAAAGAGGCCATAGTCAACTCTTTGCTTTTTTGAAAAAAAAAAAGAGAAGAACTAAAAGCAAATAAATTTTTATTGTCATTAAATGCATATTGTAATTGTAGCGACGTCAAAAGACATTAAAATAACTCACCGAATCATCGTGGCGTGATGGGAAAGACTGCTAGACGCAGTTTAGACACGTCTAAAAATATTGAGCCTAAATATTGTACTAAAAGATACCAATAGAAAAAGTTGAAATTTTATCGTTCTTCTAGGCTTTGAAACAATCACAAAAGCACAAATAATATATATTCATCGACGCAATTAATCAGTTATATATTTTCTCCTATAACTAATGATGTAATGTATGAACATCACTATAGATGTTTCTTTCTAAAGTCATGTATAACAATTCACTTATTACCATCTGAAATCCAAAATGGAATTTGGAATAACAGAGATATAAATACAATAGTGAATTTCAGTTTCACTGGTACATAAGTGCACGAGACATATTGATAATATTCTTGACA